TACCATCACCCTCACCTTGCTTTCCATCTCCTTAGCCCTAGCCTTCTCCTGCAGGGCCTTATCCTCGGCCGTCATGACCGAGAAGAAGTTGTTCATCTTCTTTTGCTTAAATGTGTCCAAACGCTCACGCACGCGTTTGCTCAGCCAATCAGGATGCTTCACGCGCGGCACCGGATTAGACACCTGCTGGAAAGCCGCCGGGATGGTGATGATTTTTTGGATCACAGACCCGAATCTTGTTACATAATAATTCCTGAATATCGGATTGAGATCGGAATGAAGTTTGTAATTAGAGAGATGGGCTAGAAAGTTTGGGTATGTGCTGTTTGGGTTGCTTAGAAAGAAATTGTCTGATAAGGCGAGTATTGTGATGCGCATGCACTACAACTACATTATTCCACACGTACATACATGTCGCCTCGTTTATCAACACGTGCATACATATAACCACACACTTATCGACATACACCATGTGTGTACTCGTTGCACTTATCAATCTACACACTTATCTATATAAACCATGTGTGTACTTATAACCACACACCTATCTATAAACAATACGCGTGTACATCCAACCACATACTTATCTATATACACTCGCGTGTACATTCAACCTCACATTTATCTATATACGCTACGCCTGTACTTGCAACCATACTCTAATCTATTTACACTATGCGTGTACTTACAACCACACACTTATCGACATACACCATGTCTGTACGTATAATCACACACTTTACCTACACACACCATATCTGTACTTATAACCACACACTTTACTTACATACACCATGTCTGTACTTATAACCACACACTTATCTACATACACCATGTCTGCACTTATAACCACACACTTATCGACATACACCATGTCGGTACTTATAACCACACACTTATCTACACACATCATGTCTGTACTTGCTGTGCTTACCAATCGATGACAGTCCGGGGGTCGCAGTCGATCAGTGAACTGTCCTTAAGCCATTTGCGCAGAAACGTACGGCGCACGTGCTTGTCCGCTTTGAAGATGAGGATTGGCACGGCACGCTCGGTCACGGGCGCCCCAATGGGCTAAGGTGTAGTAGGGTTTAGAGCTTAAGGTTTAGGGTTTAGGGTTTTGAATGAGATGATACCATACCAGTTAGGTATGATATTGGGGGAGGATGTAGGTAGCTGAGTTACAAAATGGGGTCAGCTAAGTAGAGTTTATCTTCGGACGCGGTCGTTGGGTGAGCGATGAGGTGCGTGAATGGACCGAAAAGTGGACAAGAACGATAGAGTGGAGTAGTGAGAGTACTAAAGTGGCCCCATACCCATGGTGACCTTGAACAGGTGCATTGTCGGTCCCAAGCAGCCTATACGGGACACTAATAGTCCAAAAAATATGTACGTGGGTATGCATATAATCCTGAGTGCGTACAGTTCCAGCTGGCGGCACAAATACATACAACCATGCATGCCTATACACATACACGCACATTCCCTGGGTATCATCATATTTTAAATAACCAGCCGACAAAACAGGCAGTTTCCCTTGAACACCCCTGTGCACACACGCTTCAATTGTAAACCCAACATACTCGTGCACACCCTCACCTTCTCAGATATAATGAGCTGGCAGGACAGGCTGTTTCCCTTGAGCACCTCTGGGCCCAAAAAGTCGCCCATGCGTTTGGCTGCGGTGACAGGCACAGACTTCTGCGTACCATAGTCCTCGATAGGACGCGACAGAGACTTCTTCTCCGAAATCAGATCAAACAACTCCTCATCCTGTGGGGATGGTAGGTATCGAATTAGTTGGAACGGTGTGTGTTGAAATAGTTGGAACGGTGTGTGTTGAATTAGTTGGAATGGTGTGTGTTAAATTAGTTGGAATGGTGTGTGTTAAATTAGTTGGGATGGTGTGTGTTGAAGAAATAGTTGGAACGGTGTTTGTTGAATTAGTTGGGATGGTGTGTTGAAGAAATAATTGGAATGGTGTGTGTTGAATTAGTTGGGATAGTGTTTGTTGAAATAGTTGGGATGGTGTGTGTTGAATTAGTTGGGATAGTGTGTGATGAATTAGTTGGGATAGTGCGTGTTGGGTTAGTTGGAATGGTATGTGTTGAATTAGTTGGAACGGTGTGTAAATTAGTTTCTATGGTCATTGTATGTTTGCTCAACACAGTTGGTGGGTGTGGGTTTCAGTATAATCCCAAAATCTATTCTCATGCCTACTGTACATGTGCTGTGACGCATACAAATATACCGATCCACATTTCTATGGACAGTCAAGTGTCAAGGGCCCAACGTACCTGCAAGTCACAGCCTTTGCTGTACAGAACATCGAGCCAATGGTCTGCCACAGCCGCCACGGTGGCGTAGCAGCTCTGCAGATCATCACCCTAATTATAGGAACAAAATGAGTGTGCATTGTAAACCAGGTTAGTAAATCGGATTTTTAAAACCTGTGCATTAAAAACCTGGTTTGTAGATCGGATTATTGAAACCTGTGCATTGTGAACCTGGTTGGTGAAGCTTATTGGGCACGCAGGTTCGGACGAGGATTGTACCAACCACAACCAGTAAAGCGGACTGAGGAAGAACACGAAAGTGGATGAATGACACTCGTGAGTGAATCATATCAAACCAAGAAAAGGTACGACACAAAGTATGTAATCTGTCCCACAAGGGAAACCACCAAATGAAGTACACATGGCTGTGATATGGGCTGTGTTGATATGTATTGCTGCTATGTATGAAACAGTTTGTGTTTATACGCACACACACACAATATAC